CTGGGATTACAGGCATGAGCCACCGTGCCCAGCGGAAGACAGTTTATTTCTAAATCCCAAGTCTCTATATGATACTCTATCAACAGAAAACATTGAAAATTATAATCTGTTAATTAGACATTCAGTTTTAAGTAATTCAAAGAATGCTTGCATTGTTTATTTTTATGGTGCTGTGCCAGATTTTTTCACAACTACCTGAAACTATCATCTATAAAAGGGTTCCCCTAAAAAATATAGGTATATATCTTAACACATGCATAGAGCCTGCAGAGATTAAGCAACTGCATACTGGCTTGTTGTAAGCATGCAGACGAGAGTGTCAGGAATGATAGCACCCAGGGTTTACTGAACACTTGGTGTGTGCTAGGTATTGTTCTAAGCGCCTTGTTTTCATCCACTCACAAGCTCCTTAGCACATGAGGATGGCATTGCTTTCATCCACATTTTTGGTTCATTCATGTACCAAAATGTTTTTCTTTGACCATTGAAGGCATCTTCTATGGCCACCAAGCCAGCATTAGAAAGCTGGTCACTTCCTTTTTCAAAGGAAAATGACTTGGTTACCATTTTCTTGTGCGTTTTGAGAAGGTCAGGTAGACTCATTATGATTCATTCTGAAGTTGATGCCATTGAGTGAAATTATTCAGCATAAAAATAAAAGCGAAAGTAATTATTTGATTGCATCTATTTATGAGAAACTACAACCTCTTGATTCTTAGAATACGATACAATCCTCTTAACAATGAGATAATATACAAGGAAAATCCATGGAACAAAATCCCCTAGAAAACCCTAAATTTTTTTTTAGAACTTTCAAATATGTTCTTCCTCAAAAATATGATCTCAGAAGAGTGAATTGCCATTGGAAGACTTCCACACAGGGAACGCTGCTGTTATAACATAACAAGTAATAAAGTGCCATCCGGCTTCTAGAGTAAGGGAGAACAGAAAAGCAGAATTTTGTTTAAGAAAACAACTGGGCCGGGCGTGGTGGCTCAAGCCTGTAATCCCAGCACTTTGGGAGGCCAAGACGGGTGGATCACGAGGTCAGGAGATTGAGACCATCCTGGCTAACACGGTGAAACCCCATCTCTACTGAAAAATACAAAAAACTAGCCGGGCGAGGTGGCGGGTACCTGTAGTCCCAGCTACTTGGGAGGTTGAGGCAGGAGAATGGCGTGAACCCAGGAGGCGGAGCTTGCAGTGAGCTGAGATCCGGCCACTGCACTCCAGCCTGGGCTACAGAGCGAGACTCCGTCTCAAAAAAAAAAAAAAAAAGAAAAGAAAACAACTGCATTTATTACACAATAATATAACAAAAGGAAGTGAGACCACCCTCTCTTAGAGAATTCTGAAGCCTTAATTACATGGCAAAGTTTGGGAATTCATATGGTACAGGCAGCTTCTAAACTCATTCACAGGTCAGTCACTGACTGTCTGATTAGAGCATTAACCTGTTTCTGACAATCAGCCATAATTCCGTTATGTATTTTTCCCAACAATATGAATCATATTGATCCTAAGGTTCAGAGAAGATTTCAATGAGCTGAAAGGAATTTGGTAGTGACAATGTGAACAGATGAATTTTTGCATCTTCCCTGATGTGTCCCACCTCTGTAAAAAGAGAGTATGCTGCATTTGATCATTGAAAAGGACCCAAGAGATTCCAGTCAACCCAGTCTCTTCATCTTACAAGGGAGCCAAATTCAGTTAAGATTGGACTGGCCTGGCAGGGTGGCTCACACCTGTAATCCCAGACTTTGGGAGGCTGAGGTGAGAGAATCACCTAAGATCAGGAGTTCGAGACCAGCCTGGCCAAAATAGTGAAACCCCGTCTCTACTAAAAGTACAATAATTAGCCGGCCGCAGTGGTGGGTACCTGTAATCCCAACTACTTGGAGGCTGAGGCAGAAGGATCACTTGAATCCAGGAGGTGGAGATTGTAGTGAGCCAAGATTACATCACTACACTCCAGCCTGGGCGAGAGAGTGAGACTCCATCTCAAAAAACAAAAACCAAAACAAACAAAGACTGAATAATCTGAATCTTATACTAGAAGAAAAACCCCAAATACGCCCAGGCTAAAGTCATCTGGGGACACACTGTTTTGGGTGGTGGCCTCTAATTAGGGCTTGAACAAATTTGAGAAAATCTGTGTTAGGGGAATTTCTCTTTGGAGGTGAGGCTCCTAGACCAGGTACTTGATCATCCCCTGAGAGCTCAACAGCCAAGCAGCGACTCAACCCCCATCCAGGCTGAGCCAAAATCTACCTTTCAACAAGGCCCGTGGGTGACCACTGTGTGCATGAAAGGTTGCAAACACTGGCTTAGGTGATACTGCTAAGATTGAGATCTGAGAAGGAGCTGTTTTTCTCTAGGGCTTTTTTTTTTTTTACAAGTCAGCTGACTATTCAGAGACCCACACTGATGGAAGCTCTCAGGAGCTTTTGTCTCTGAACAGAAAACACTACGTCAGCCAGGAGTCAGGTCAGGAGACGGAAAGGTGACCGGCAGAAGCTGGTGGAAATCCCTGATGGGGGGGGATGCACTTCCATGGATGTATCTTTGTGCAGATACAGAGGAATCTGGAGCTTTCTGACCCTCGAGATCCAATTGATAAAGAAGGAAAATCAGTAAAATGTAACAATGGCCATGTACATCCATAAAAGGTAACTACAGATACAGCAAAATGAAAGTACTCCACGATCAAATGTGGCACACTCTTTTCTTGTAGGCATGGGACAAGTCAGAAATGATGAAAAAATGCATCACTTCAAGTTTTATAATGCAGGTGACTTCTAACATCTCTGATTTTTCAACTACTCGGCGCAGTGGCTGGTATTTTCCTTATGTTATAGATGAGGAAACCGAGGCTCAGAAGAGTCAAGTCAGGGCCCCAACTCACACAGCTACTAAATGTCTGAGCTGAGGTTCACACTCACCTGTCTGACTGCCTAAAACCCACACTCTGAGTCCTGGGTTTACATTTGACACCAGCTTCAGTTCATTGTTTACCCTTCCCCCGAAGAAGTGCATTTTTTTTTAACATTTGCAAAGTATTATGTTGGATTTGCATACCAGTCCCTTTTAGTGCCAAACTTAGGAGGGAAACCCCATTTATTAATAAATATGTCCTTAAAGGAGGACATATTCAAAAGGAAAGTGAAAAAGCAGGCTTCTGACCTGGCTTGTTAAACGGGTCAGAGTGCAAAGCAGCAGATGTGCACAGTGGAGTATGTCCTCTCCAAGCATCTTGCAGAAAACCGCAATGTCATGGGATTGTGCAGACAGCTCCCCTTCCTTCCCTCAAATAAAAGCAGTGTGCACATTTCCTCTGTGACGGACACTGCTTCCCTCCTTTCCCTGTGTGAGCTGAAAACTCACCTCTGGGAGTCAAATATAATCAATTACACAAAACTATTTTACCGGACGGGGGTTGTGAGTTGCAGGTAAGGCTCAGTTCCATTTCTGAAGGAGTCCACAAGATTTGCTTCTCAGAGAAGAAATGAAAGTTAATGATAGGCCAGGCGCAATGTCTCACGCCTGTAATCCCAGCACTTTGGGAGGTTGAGGCAGGAGGATCACCTCAGGTCAGGAGTTCGAGACCAGCCTCACCAAAATGGAGAAACCCCATCTCTACTAAAAATACAAAACTTAGCCATGCATGGCAGTGCATACCTGTAATCCCAGATACTCGGAGGGGTGAAGCAGGAGAATCACTTGAACCTGGAAGGCGGAGGTTGCAGTGAGCCGACATCGTGACATTGTGCTTCAGCCTGGGCAACAAGAGCAAAACTCAGTCTCAAAACCAAAAAAAATAAAAAATTAGCTGGGTGTTGTGGTGTGCACCTGTAATCCCAGCTCCTCTGAGACTGAGGCAGGAGCATCGCTTGAACCCAGGAAGCAGAGGTTACCGGGAGCCGAGATCATGCCACTGCACTCCAGCCTGGGCAACAAGAAGGAAACTGTGTCAAATAAATAAAATAAAATAAAAATAAAGATAACGATACACAAATTTAAAGGCAAAAAACAAAAATCTAATAAAGTTATGTTTCTCTTGTTTCAGTTGGAGAGGAAAAGGAAGTAGTAAAGATTCCTTGAAATCTATTTCAGAGCTGTTCCTTTGGGGCTATGAAATAAAAGGCAAGACTGGTAGAAATGACTTGAAATGCAAAAATGGCAAAGGTAATGATCACTGTGGGTAGGTTATAAACGACTGTGGAGATTTGGGGACGCTAAATCATCCAGCCAATGGAAAAGTAGTCATTTGAATCTGAAGACGGTGAGCCTCTGCCTGAGTCTGTCTCATGGATTGGAATATCCTCTTATTAAATTACAGTGTTTTATAACTTGTGAATAAAATTGGTATCATGTTTACTATGCAAAATCCCCGCTATTTTTCAAATGGATATATATTTAATACGAAATTGAAATGTAATATCTAAAGCACCAAGCAATAAAACCAATCCGCCTAGTTTCAAACCCTGCTTAAGTTATTTTTTTGAATTCTGTATCTAATAACATAGTACAATAACACTGAAACAAGATTAACACTATGATACTATTTGTTTAGGAGACCAAGAGTGTTGCTATGGAAACCGACCTTCAGTGTATCTATGGAAACAGTGACAGTGTTGTAAATAAAGGTACTGAAAAGAGGAACCTAGTAAACTTAGCATATGAATTCTAAGAAAAAGGATAAAGAATGAGGACCCGCGGGGAGAAAATTTTTGTATTTTCTTGTAAGAAAAAAAGCATTGTGACGTATTTTATTAATCGCATGATAGAACTTTTAAGCTAAGTTTTCAAAACCTTCATTGTATCTTCTACTATCTTTTGTTAGTTTCTGTCTTCTTCTTAACTGTCCAAATCATAACCTATTTATAATTAACAAGAACATTTATTGAACATTGTTTTATATGACTCAACTTCACTATGATAGCATTTTAAAGGCCAACTTACTTTTTCTAAAAACGTTAACATGAAAAAAAAAATGCAGAAAGCATATGTTTAACTCAGTTATGTTTTGAAGTTAAAAAGTAATTTTTTTAAAAGACCCATCCATAATATTTACCAAACACAATTTTAAACGGGGGACTATCGAAAGAAAGTTAGTTGGTTTTTTGTTTGTTGTTGTTGTTGTTGTTGTTTTTAACGTTGCAACCCTTTGAAATCATTATTAAAAGACACACAAACATTTATGGAGTTGTAATTTCAATCTTCTGGCTTCATTGTGTCCTGCTGGAAGGAAACAACTATGTCTTCCCTTTGCATCTCCTGATATTGATGAGACTGTTGTGCACATAGGGGAGAGCCACACATGGTGGAATGAAGGGATGAAGCTGTTAAAGGAATCGAATATGATAAAACAAACCAATACACAAAAAGACAACAGAATGCAATGTAATGTCAAGTCCCTGGCAATAATTACATGAGCTGGCTCAGTTATGTGAAAACGGATCTCATCTCATTAGAAAAGGTGACGGTTGTACACCAAGCAGAGCAAAGCAGAGGAAGGGAGGGAGGCAGATTGGGGCCTACGGCACAGGAGAGAGGCACAGGGCCAACCTCGCCCGCACTCTCCAGAGCCACCCCCTCCTCCTCTCTCATGTCTCCGGCTATCAATCAAGTCACACAGAGATGGACAGAGCAGCCTTTTTGGAGCCAAGAGCCATGTTTCTCCTAAGCTGTTGGTTCCCGGATTCTTAAAAGATTTTGGTAAGTAAATATTTCATGTTAATATAGGACTATGTATTCTGGCCTTTTAAAAACTCTAGAATAGTGCTTTTTTCTTGTTTAAATTTGGAATCCTGTCATTTTTAAAGATCCTCCTCAGAAGGTAACAAATAAACATTTTGAATGAGGAGTTTAGACTAGATCCTTAGTCTTCAAATTCTGTTTCAGGCATGGGGGACCCCTGGGGGATGGCTCTAGAGAGGCTGCCTCCTTCCCTCATGAGAACAGCTCTGCTCCCCTCATCTAAACTTCTTCAAATGCTTTCGTTAAAGTTTTGGCTTCATTGCTCACAACAATCGAGAACACCCTTGAAAACTTCTGGAGAGGAAATCCCTTTCAGCTTTCTATTTCTGCGATTCTCTGGTTACTTTTCAAGGAATAGTAAATGATAAAAGAACCACTAAGAAAGCATTCCCAACCAGAGGACTTGTGGACCCACCTCAACGTCGAGCTAAGGGTCTCTCAATTACATATCAAGGCACATTTAACAGCTGGGGACATTTATTGAACATTTATCAGTTGCCCAGAGCAGTTGTTGGCAGGCGTCAAGGCTGAGCAAGGCTCCGGTGCTCAGCTCAGAAAGGAACCAAGAAGCCATCCAGAGCCTGGGTGGTTTCCCAGGTGAGTGGCCTCTGAGGTCGCGGGAGCCCACGCTCGGGGATCCCCATGCTGGGCTTTGGGCTCTGCCACCTCCATATTGAATTCCCAAATTATTTTCTCATGGAATTTGGGTTTTTAAGTGAAGTCTGTGGCAACAAGGAAGCATATGTGTGATCAGAAGAGAGAGAAGGATGGGGGACAAAGGAGAAGATCTTTATGCACAGTGAGACTGTCTTAGGCAGCTCTGGCAGCCATGGCAAATACTGCAGACTGAACGTCATTCAGATAGTCACCTGCAGAGCTGGTAGCTCTGCTCCAACAACAGCAATGTCCATGGTACAGTCTGGAGGTGGCCAGTCCAAGCTCAAGGTGCCAACCGTTCACTTTCTGGCGAGGGCTCTCTTCGGGCTGGTAGACGCCGCCTTCTTGCTGTGTCCTTGTATGACAGGTGGGTGTGGGGGGAGACACAGAGAGAGAGAGGAACGGAGGGAAGCTCCTTCTCTGGAGTCTCTTCTTATAAGGACACTAATCCTATTGCGTCAGGACGCTGCCATTATGACCTCATTCTGAATTACTTTCTTACCGCAAATACAGCAACACCGGGGGCTAGGGATTTTGGCAGGGGTTGGGGAAACAACTTGGTTCCTAGCAATACTAGTCCAGCTTGGCTTTTTAGCAGTAAAATAAAATCGAAAACAGAAAAGAGGTTGTTAGTTAAAAACTGGTATAACCACTTTGTGGAAGCTTACATAGTCAGTCAATATTATATTTTCCAAGGTTGTTCCATGACATAGAGAAGGCCTTGAGTATAGGATAAGTGCAAATGGTCACATGAAATTTGACACATGAAGTGCAAATGGTACATTGAAATTGTACGTACACAGTTTATCGTAAACGACGTAGCGAAAGAGACTGCTGCCTAGAAAAAAATGCTGAAAGGTGATACATAAAAATACTGATACAGGTATGTTTAGGTAGTAGATGTATTTTATATATTTTTTTCTGTTATTCTGTATTTTCCAATATTCCTTCATGAATATGTACTGCTTTTTACTAAAAAAAAAAACAGTTTGAATTATCCTATTAAATTTATGGTCATGATTTTTAAGGATAAAATAAATATGTAATAGAATAATTTACACACTACTAAATTGATAAGTTAACATTTTCCTTGAGTTTATAAACTCAAATTGGATCAAATTATTAAAATTCAAACTTGAAAATTCTAAACGAAGGTTATTTTTTGAACTTCTGTTCTCAAATGTAATTTGAACCTATTAACATCCACCACTAGCAACAAAATATCCATCACAAGCAAGAGTCATTTGCAAGCTTTTGCTTTAGCAAAATAATCCCTTTTCAAGTGGATCCTTACACAGAATTCTGGTATAAAATTCAGACTGAAATGAAGCCCCTCTAGTGAACACCGATTTGGGGCCCTGTCCATGCCCATCCTCCTGGAGGCTCACAGGGAACCTTTGTGGAACCTGGGCTTCCGTGAACCACAGTTCCAATGCTCTTGGACAGAGTACAGTGTGAGCCCCGGGTTTTAAGTCCCAGCTCTACAGGTAGCTATTTGCATGATATTCAGAAAGTTGTAGCGTGATGTTGATGAATTACATTAACTCTGGGGTCTCCTCTGAGTCTGTAATTCTTGGAAACTGTTTGACTAGAGTGGACCATGCCAGTATGCATTTTTGTTTTCTTTTTTTTGAGATGGAGTGTCACTCTGTCACCCAGGCTGGAGTGCAGCGGCACTCACCACAAACTCTGTCTCCCAGGTTGAAGTGATTCTTCTGTCTTAGTCTACCAAGTAGCTGGGATCACAGGTGCCTAACATTACGCCTCACTGATTTTTATATTTTTAGCAGTGATGGGGTTTCACCATGTTGGCCAGGCTGGTCTCAAACTCCTGATCTCAGGTGGTCCACCTGCCTCAGCCTCCCAAAGTGCTGGGATTACAGGCGCGAGCCACTGCGTCTGACTGCTAGTATGCATTTTTTAAACTATCAAATGGGAATCTGAAATATGGCAATGGGAATGAAGAAAAATCATCTTTCTTTATTTAGAAGTATCTTCAAACACGAGCCCTCGCGGCTGAACACGTTACTTCACAATGAATATAGGCTGCACTTTTGTGTTCCTCAGCCAAATGCCTTTGTAATTTTTTTTTTTTTCAGCTCTTGCAACAAAAGAAAGCAGTCACACCACTAGTTTGATGGTTAATTTTATGTGTCAACTTGGCTGGGCCATGGTGCCCAGATATGTGGTCAATCTTTATTCTGGATATTTCCGTGAGGGTATTTTTGGATGAGGTTTCCCTGATGTGGGTGAGCCCCATCCGATCTGTTGAAGGCCTGAAGAACACAAAAAGCTGACCTCCTGCAAGTGAGAGAGAATTCGGCAGCAAACAGCCTTCAGACTTCATCTGCAACCTCAGCCCTTTCTGGCTCTGCACCAAACTGTCTTTACACCCAAACTGCAGCTCTTTCCTGAGTCTCCAGCCTGCTTACCACCCCCATCAGATTTTGGACTCAGCAAACCTCCACTGCCCCGTGAGCAAATTCCTTAAAATATCTACCTATCTATCTCCTGTTGGTTTGTTTCTCTGGGAACCCTGACTAATACAACCACCTTTATCATAAACTCGGAAGAGAATTCTCCATGAGTCTCACATTTCTGTACATCTTCTGAGTGGAGGCAGTGAGAGTCTTTGTCCTGGAGTATCTTGTCAAAGATGGTTAAGTAGTGGACAGCTCTGGAAGACAGAGACTGTGTGTCCTTCAAAGCAAAGGGCAGCTATGCCTACTGCTTCTTGTGAAAGGCGGCCTCCCATCCTCCAAGTTTAGGTTCACCTCCTGAAATGCAATCCACTGCATGTGCAAATGTCGCCTGACCCCCCTGCAGTCACCCCGTGGGAGTCGGGAGTAGGAGAACTAAAATTGCTGATACTCTGCCTACTGCTATTGCTTGAGTCATAAAGTCCTTTTGGTCTTTGACCCAGAGCACTCATGTCTTCTGTCAGCATTCACAAACTGGGACAGGCTAACTTGGAAGCTTACAAATAGGGTAAAACATTAGATCCTTCCCAGTTTCTTACAGTCCACATAAAATCTGCCAAACGGTCTATAATCAGAATCTCATCAAATACATTGTGTGGTGTCTTGAACATACATCTACAAATCCTTTGACAATCCTGCTTTGAAAAGGTGGGGTTCAATTCTGCTCCCCTGAGTGTTAGCTGGACTTTGTATCTTGCTTCTAAAGAAATAGAATGTGGCAGAATGGGAAGCCAAGATGGAAGGATCCCTTGAAGCCAGAAGTTTGAGACCAGCCTGGGGAACAGAGCAAGACCCTGTCTCTACAAAAAAGTTTAAAATTGGCCAGGCATGGTGTCTCACACCTATAATCCCAGAACTTTGGGCGGCCAAGGTGAGCCGAATCATTGGAGGTCAGGAGTTCGAGACTAGCCTGGCCAACATGGTGAAACCCTGTCTCTACTAAAAATACAAAAATTAGCCAGGCGTGGTGGTGGGCGCCGGTAATCCCAGCTACTCAGGAGGCTGAGGCAAGATAATCACTTGAACCCAGGAGGCAGAGGTTGCAGTGAGCCGAGTGTGCCTTTGCACTACAGCCTAGATGACAGAGTAAGACTCTGTCTAAAAAAAAAAAAAAAAAAAAAAATTGAAAATTAGCTGGGCTCAGTGGCGTGTGTGCACCTGTAGTCCCAGCAACTCAAGTGACTGAGGAGAGATGATAGCTTGGGCCCAGGTGTTGAAGACCGCAGTGAGTCATGATTGCACCACTGCACTCCAGCCTGGGTGACGGTGAGACTCTGTCTAAAAACAAACAAACAAAAGCAGAAAACAAGACACAGGAACCATTCTATGGATGTCTTCAAATAAGCAACTATTTACTCTTATTGTCTTTATATGTGACAATATCCAAAGGGCAGCCTATTCACTCTGGAGCTTCTTACATGAGCAATTATACAGTGGAAAGAGCAAAAAAAAAAAAAAAAAAATTAAAACCCTGAACACAAGCTATGGAATCAGAAATGTCTATTCTGTCTCTTACTAAGATGTGACCACATCCAAAGTCATTGAAGCGTGCTGATTTTTAGGTGACTTTAAATGACTAGTGTAGTGATACCTAGTTGTCTGGATAATTTTGATGATTAAATGAGAAACATAATAATAGCATTTGTTATCTACTAAACATTGTATAAAGGAATTTAGAGCTGTGATATCTTTTAACATATTCAAACCATCTAGAATTGTGCCTGGCACATGTTATGTAATTCATAAACCTTGGTCCCTGTCTTCTCCCAACATAGAAGATTGATACTTGATCATGTGCCTATGATCTCAGTTTATGTGCCTTAAAATAAAATCCATTACTTCCTCTTGTTGTGATTATGGCAGACATCTACTTGTAACTGTGCTCTAGTTAAAAAAAAAAAAAAAAGTAATACTTCAACTTTTATGATTACAAAGCAATACACATTAAAATGAATCATTCTCATGAAGATATCAAAGTTCCTGCTATCCAGCATGACTCTACTTCAGTGATAAAGAAAAGGTTCTCATATAGCCAGAGTTATCACAGTGGACAAACAACTTCACTTGTTGTTTTTCCACTGAGCGCTTGTGACACCACCTCAGGTCTCACAGATGGGCTCAGGGGTCCCAAAGGTGAGGTGCACACACAGAGGGTCTGTACAGAATGATATATTGCAATACAGGGAAAAGAACATTAGAGCTTCTATGCACATTTATTTTTAGCTGATTCATTTATTACGTTTATGTTTCTGTGTATCCTTTATAATGCTCAAAATATAACAGAAGACTTACCCTGCCTCTACGCTGTTTGTTCCTATCACTGTCTAGTTGCTCATGGAAGCCACGCAGCAGGAAGGGTCTGTCCCTACTGGTTTTACACATCAGTAAATATTAATGTCTTTATATGTTCATGATCAAAAACTTTTTACTGATGAGGTGTGTATCCTCAAAATATTTGGAAACCTCTACTCCAGATCATCATTCAAATTAGAGTTGAAACTGACACTTAGCATTTAGATGAACTAGGACCAATTATGTCACCAATTTAAAACAAGAATATTTTACAAAAATAAAACATAAAATGGCCTGGCGTGATGGCTCATGCCTGCAATCCTAGGACTTTAGGAGGCTGAAGCAGGTGGATCGCTTGAACTCAGGAGTTCAAAACCAGCCTGGGCAACATGGCTAAACCATATCTATAAAAACCACAAAAATTAGCCAGGTGTGGTGGCACGAGCCTGTAATCCTAGCTACTTGGGACTAAGGCAGGAGGATCACTTGAGCCAGGGAGGTGGAAGCTGCTATGAGCCGAGATCACAGCTGCAATCCAGCCTGGGAGACAAAGTGAGACCCTGTCTCAAAAACGAAAACAATAAAACCCATAAAATAACCGGATTTAAGGGTTGCTATAGCAATGCTTCTACCTTTCAGATATGTCTATGTAGTAGTGATCACCATGTGTGAAGTGGTAGTTAGCAACAACCAGCTAAAACTGTTCTTGAACTAGAGACTAATACAACTTACTTTCAGAACGTTATTTGCATGATGGTTTGGAATATTTTCTGTCTTTGCTGCTGGTTGAGTTCTCTGACAACCTGGGACAAGTGTCGACGAACTGCTTCTATTTGGTCTCTAACATATGTCACATATTTCTGGGAAACATGATGAGCAACAGTACGGTCCTCGTGAGAGATGGTGTCACTCTTTCATTTGTGCCAAGATGCATGTCTCTACTGCACTGCAGACAAGTGGGAATAGCTTGAGTGTACCTTACTAAAATGGTGAATGTCCTGGGAGAAAGTAATGTTCAACCAGTAACAGTTTGCCAGGAGTCTGCTAAACAGGATGTCTCATACAGATTGTAGTATGTCAGGTTTATTAACTTAAAGATCCACTTTATCAGAGCTCCTCTGTCTCATCACTGAAATGATCATTCTCAGATTTAACATAGAGTTCTCTATCTATATTTTCACTACTGTAATAACATATTAGAACGACTCACTGGTAATTCTTAATTCAATATGCGAAAGTAAAAAACTGGTAGCCTTATAAGCACACATAACCTAGATAAAGCTCTTATATTCTTTTTTTGGTGCAGAGATGGGTGAAATATTATTATTTCACAATTATTCTGTAGACCAGCAAAACTGCCATCCCAGGAATCATTTGGTTATAGCAGACCAAGAGGTTAAAGGAAAGGTGAATTATTCATAGTATCCTTCACAATTATAGAACATCCAAAAGGAAACCATGAGAAGTATTAGAGATCTTTAATTATTTTTAGTGGCACATTGCAACTTCAAAAAGTCTCAGAATGAGTCAAATTTCCATTGTGGTTGCACACTATGGCCTCATCACACTAACTTTGGTATTTTAAGTTACACATTGAGAATTTCCTCTATGGAAAATAAACTTACGGTAATGCTATGCTCTGCACAGTAAAATTAGACTTGAATGAATTGTTGAAAGAATGATATTGACTCTAATATGTTATAGTATATACGAGCAAGTGGTTTTGCCTGCCGACAGAAAATTAGTTAACAAGAAAAGCTCTCAAAACAAGGTAAAAGCTATATTTAAAGGAAATCTAAGTCAATTAGCTATTAAATACAATTGCCTTACACTACTTGTGATTGAATATTGAAAATATGTGTGTTTAAATTCTATAAACGGTAATAACTGTTTTCATCTTTATGAATAAAACTGAATATTCTTTAATGATTTGAAATGCTAAAGTCACTACTATGCAAGAAGCACATTCCCATGATCATGAGTATTTTATGCAAGCTGCTTATACATTTTTATACTCCTTTTAGAGTTCTATGGAGGTCGCAAAATAAAATTTTGCATTTTGCTTTCCTGTTATTTCAGGTAGGATATGTAGTAGAGTAAATGTACATCCTCCTGGACTTTTTTTTTTTTTTTTTAAGATGAAGTCTCACTCTGTCACCCAGGCTGGAGTGCAGTGCCACGATCTTGGCTCACTGCAATCTCCACCTCCCAGGTTCAAGCAATTCTCCTGTCTCAGCCTCCCGAGTAGCTGGGATTACAGGCATGCACCACCATGCCCAGCTAATTTTTTTGTACTTCTAGTAGAGACGGGGTTTCAACATGTTAGCCAGGCTGGTCTTGAACTTCTGACATCAAGTAATCCACCTGCCTCAGCCTCCCAAAGTGCTGGGATTACAAGCATGAGCCACCGTGCCCGGCCATCCTGGAAATGTTAAGTATAACAAATGGCCTTCTCTCCTCCACTATATATATATAAGCATTTCACCTCCCCAGGTGTGTCTGCTGCTACCCCTGGGCTTACGTTTCCCTGAAAGCCAAGCCCCTTTCTCTTGCCAGTGAGAGCCATGGGCTTTGCCAACTCGGAGGTGGGGTGTTGCTCCAACTTCCATCTCCAATACCATGGGGCTGTCCTCCCCTGCCCCACACATCCATTCAGTCTGTGGGACTCTTCTGGGAGGGCTTATTCTCTATTTGTTCCCTGTGACCTGCATCCTGAGGTGACTTACTGTTTGAGTTATTCCTGTGGCCTTCAGCTGACGATTTGCCTTCTGTTATCCCCGCAGGCGTCCTGGGCATCACACACTAGACAT